ATAAAACTAGAAAACTGTTTTGTGCATGCATTACAGAGTAGTGGGCAAACAGCAATTACAAATCCCATAAGGAGAGAGCTCAACAAAACTTCATGTTAAGGAGCTATATCCAACATTAGACAATATTGTTTCACAACACAAACATAATTACATACGTAGTGACTTACAAGTGGATCAGCACCGCGCCAAAGGTCGAGACAGAATTCAAACATACATGAACAAAACAAAAGCATATACAACAAAACACAAATATAATTACATACATAAAGTGGCTTACCAGTAAAGAAATGTAAATAAAATGTTTATCTGTCTCTGTGTAGGCGGAGTCGGGATTTGAACCTGCAATCCTGCTGCTACAGCCAATAATTATTCCAAACTTTATAGTAGCGCTTTAACCAACTGAGCTATCCCGGCTCTAAGGCGATAAACTCTTCGCTTACTTAAATAGATATCCACAGCGCGATTCAAAATATCTTCTAGTTCTTGGTAAGTGAAATTCTGGTTATTCCCTGCTGATATGAGAGTCTTCCATTGTTGAGTGGTTCATCTTTAAATGCCGATCAGTCAGTATTACAGTCAAAATACTGAAAATGCGTTCATAAGTTCAACTAGAAGACAAAAGTTTGGAAACTTGATTCTATGATGAAGGAAAAATTTCTGCTACATTTCCAGTGGTGTGAGTGCAATAGTGTACTGAGTATTTATTATTAATTTTGCAGCTTTCCATTCCGAAAGAACCATTTTAAAATCTATTCCTGCAGCCTTTAGAGGGTAAAAGAGTTCCTTTAGTAATAAAGATATGCTGGCATCATCATACATGCCGTCTGCTGTCCATAATTGTAATCTAACCAATCTATTGATTTGAATATTGGATTTAATAGCGAACTAAATCTATCATTTATCAATGACAGAATGATGTGAATTGCTGATTTTCTTAATTTAATGACAGAGCTAAGACATTCCAAGTTAAGATTAGCCATTTTGCTAAAAAAATTTTTTTTAAATTTGAACAAACTCTAGATATGATTTTTTCAATTCGTGGCTTTGAAATATGAAGAAACAAGTTGTACCATCTTAAAGGAATATTACCTGATTCATTAAAAATGATGTCAATAGCATTTTTAATGGCATTAGCACCCATACCACCCAAGTTGATCATATCAAATAAAGATACTACAAAGTAAGCAGGGGTTGCCTCGCGTTCAACGTGCACAAGAATTAACTCTTTCTCATCCTTCATTTTTCTAGCCTGTGAGCCATCAGAGAGAATTGAGAAAAAACTTTTACAATTGATAATTTAAGCAACTTTTTCTTTTACAGCACTGGCAATGCAGGAGATATATTTATGTGCTAAAAAAATAAATTAAAAAAAAATATTAAAAAGAAACTTTTTAAAAACAACATTTTAAAAATGGACCAAAAAGTAAAAAATAAACTATTTCACTGGACCCAAAGACTATGTGTACATACACAAACTGAAATATCCATTAAAGTCAATGACTGAAAATATTGGGTGCCAATAGGAAGGAGTTGTACTTAGTTGCCCAACATTTTAAATCATTGACTTTAATGGATATTTCAGGTTGTGTATGTACACAAAGTCCTTGGGTCTTGTGAAATATTTTTTAGTCCATTTTTAAAATGTTGTTTTTAAATAGTTTTTTTTATATATTTTTTATTTTTTCCTTTTTAAAATGTTGTTTTTAGAAAGTTTTTTTATATATATATTTTTTAATTTCTTTTTTTTATTATCCAACAGTTACACTAAACTAAAGCTCTAAAAGTTTGTTGTTTGTTATAATTACTCTTCTTAATGATTTCTTTTATTTACACTAAGGGATTGTCCATAAATTATGTTAGCAAAATTAAACTTATAGACAAAAGAAAAAAAATCAAAATTTTTCCCTCGCATTATCATTAATTAAATTAAGTATATAAACAACTTTTAAAGTTCCTAAAAAATCGTTGCGCCAAAAAGTAAAATGATCTCAAACTTATATTTTTTAAATAAGTTTTACATGCATAATTTATGGACAATCCCTAAACTTATGTGTTGTTTGTTTTAGTTGCTTTTTTAAACAATTTCTTTTATTAGTATGCTGATCTCATGTTTGTTTTGCACAGACACCAAAAAAATATATAAATAAACAAACCTACAAGAATGCAAGTTAAATAAAAAAATTAAAAATCATTTAGAAAAAAAAGGGTTGTAAAGATTATAAAACAATCAATAACCTGCTTTATTGTTGCATTTTCCTTCTAAAGAAGTACATCATTAATTCTTTTGCATTTTATCAGTGTCTCGAAATGGCTATGTGGCATGCTCGGTTTTAGAACCATTTCATAGGCAGTTCTTAACATCTTTGATAATGCACGTTATGTGGAACCGAGTTTTCTATATCAAGATATTGGTGGCTTAACAGCTTCCAGGATCTTTAGAGTACCCGTTTTTCAATTTGTACTGCCAACCTATGACATTGTCCTTTAAGATGGTGATCAACCTTTATTATTATCAAAAAAATTCATGATTAAAATTAAACAATTCAATAAAAAGTCGGTTCTTTTCGCAATGTAATAACTTATAAGATAAATTCATGGCGCATTTTATAATACTTTATACATAATACTTTTAATGAAACATAGTAAAATAACTGTATTCATATGTAAAATTATGCCAAAATTATTTCCTGGACTGATAAATTAAAAAGTAAATCATTTTAATTTTACCTGATGTTTTGTCACCAAACAAGTCTCCTCAATAAACAAATAATTCAACGCTCCTTTAACTAAAGTATCTTAATATAGCTATTTTGTGCCTAGCACAAATCTTACACCATATTTTAATAACTAATCCATTTTCTTCCGTGTTCCCGAAAACTGATTCTTTCATCCAAGAAAGAAAAGTTTTTAAGTTCTTAGATATTAGTTTACTAACTCTAATTAATTTTGCTTCAGTTGCCATTATTACAAACTCATTATACTTAAACTTAAAGTTACTTTTTTCTGTTTTAAATACTAAATAAAATAAAAAAGCCCATCTGCAGTAATGTGAAGCAGTTCCACTTTGTCTTCATAAAATATTTTTAACTTTTTTAGTTGGTTTTTATCTATTTAGTTTAATTTCTACAGTAACTCAATGATTTATCTTACTAAGAAGAATTGTTTCAAATATGTTAAACTTTTTAAACTATGTGAACATTGAATAGGTATTAAAAAGTTAACTTTTTTGTTTATAAAATAATTTAGCTTAGATAAAACTAAAACTAGCGTTAGTTTTATTATAATCTTGTTGGACTTTTCAGGGCCTGGGGCTATTTTTATTATGAAGGCCTTTTTTATATGCCACATTGTAAAAATGACTTTAAAAAACAGTCTTCTGGAATATTCCGGGGCCCCTAAAAATGCACGGCCTGGGGCTATAGCCCCCTCTAACCCAAACCCTTCTTAATCAAGCACTGGAAATAAGACATGAGTATATAAATAAAAATTATATTGTGCTCTTTGATCAAAAAAACATTTTGTTTTTCTTATTAAGAAATCGTAAGATGTTACTTCATATAAAAAATGTTGCTTAATTTTATAAAAAAATATAAAAGAGCGATGTTTCGAAAATATTTGTTCTAAACGTAATTTATTTTGCTATAAGTTTTTTCGCAATAAAAGTTCTTTTCTTTTCTTTGTTTTTCTTTTGTTTTTTGTAATTGTCTCTCATTGGTCAAATAATCTTTTCTGCACTTTTTTTTTTGTTTTTAAATTTTTCTTAAAAAGACTAAAAATTCTGGCCAGTTTTTTACAACTAAATATTATTTTTGTGGTCAGTAATCGAATGCGATTGCTCCCGCTTCCTGACCAAGTCTGATATATATATACATATACACATACACATATATATACACATACAAATACATATATATATATATATATATATATATATATATATATATATATATATATATATATATATATATATATATATATATATATATATATATATCAGGGGTGTGGAGTCGTAAAAAAAAAGTAACAACTCCGACTCCAGTTGTTGAAATTTTTTGAGCACAACTCTGACTCCAACTTTGACTCCAACTCCAAAGCAAAATTTTTGAAAAATTCTTTAAAATCTTTAAAAAATATTACAGGATAAGTTAAAAATTTCTTATTTGACAAATTTATGAAACATTCTTTGAGGTTATATATATTTCATGATATATATATATATATATATATATATATATATATATATATATATATATATATATATATATATATATATATATATATATATATATATAAATATATGTGTGTATGTATGTATGTATGTGTGTATGTATGTATGTATGTATGTATGTATGTATGTATGTATGTATGTATGTATGTATGTATGTATATACACACTATAGCGCATATAAATATGCATTTTCCAACTTTTTTTGCCTTTTTTTGCTAAAGCTCCCAGCAGCTCCTTTAGCATGATGTCAAATTAGTGATCAAGGGTTATTCTAGGAAAGTTCAGGCGGCAGTAAACTCAGTACCAGTAAGAACTTTTGAAACTTTGCTGAATAAAGCCATTTTTCCGCAAAAAAAAAAAAAAAGCAATATTGACTGTAAAAAAAAAAAAGAAGCATTCAATTTCTGAATTTGGGCGGTGCCCAAAACTCACTCAAATACATTCAGCACTGTCGAAAAGGGTCTAGAATAGCCCCTGATGATCTAAATGTGTATGTGTGTGTATTTGTGTGTGTGTTTGTGTATGGTTTTAAAGGTGTTTTTGAATGAAATTTAATATATATTTTGTATTTGGTAATAGTATTTAAATTGTATGGAATTTTTAAAGGCATTTAACAAGTTGACACACAATATCAAAGTAGAGATGTGTAAAGTGATGGTCTTTGCTGTTGTTGATGAAGCAGGAGCCATTGTTATGTCAGATGGTGAAGAGGTATTTTAGAATTCAGAAGTTTTAAAGATCAATAATAATTAAAATAATTTGAATAATTTTAAAGTTTTAAAACAAATCAGAGTTTCTGATTAATTTAAAAGCTTTAACCAAATATCTTTGAAATGTTTTTTGTTAATTCAAAATTGTTTTTTAAACATTTAAATCCTTTAAATTTAATTTAATGTAATTTAAAATATTTTCTGAAATAATTTCTAAATATGATTAGATAGACTTTTTCTATTTTCTTTAGATGGACTCTTGGTCAGTAATACTTAATGGATCAGTAGAAATTTTGTATGAAGATCAACCGCCTAAAACACTTCATCTAGGAGATTCCTTTGGAGTTAAAACAACACAAGAGCAAATGTTTCATAAAGGTGTAATGAAAACAAGAGTAGATGATTGCCAAGTAAATTTATTTAAATTTTTTTTGAAAATTTATAAAATAACTTAATTTGAACAGTTGATTCATATGTAGTTGCATGTCTACTGTCACACATGTCACATGTTCACTGTTAACTTGATTTCTTGTTATTTGACTATATAGTTTGCTATACTTTTGTGCATATTATTAGATTAATTTTTTTTCCTTTGCTGTTATTCTTTGATCGAAATTTTTAGTCCAATCAAAACCAGTTTAATTATTCTTTTTATTTTTTATTTTATTAATTATGATTGTTATTGAATAATTATATGATAACATTCAAATAGTAACTTGGCTTCATTAATTATTGTAATTTGAATACATAACATGAGGAGATCTTATGGGATGTAAATAAATATAAATTCTTATCAAATAAGCCTGTTGTCATAAGTAATTTTTGAACCACAATAAATATTTTTTAGTTGAATTAATAAAATAACATGAATAATGTTTAGTTAATAAAATTACATGAATATTTAGTTTGTTTGCATTGCCCAAAATGAATACTGGAGAATATTTTCTCACGGTGAAGCAAGCTGTAGAAAGGTTGAAGAGGAAGGTGAAGTTGTTATGGTTACAGAACACCGTGTTCAAGATGGGGGTAGCAGACAGGGTCAAGTTGTTATTAAGGTGCATATGAAGTATTTGTTTTTAAAAAAAAAGTTTTTTAATTAAATGTATTAAATAATAAAGTTTTAAATAAGGTTTTGGTTTTTATTAAATTGTTGCATTTAAGGGTACTCCCGAGAGACTTTTAGATCATTTAATGGAAGATCACTCTGTCATTGATCCAACTTACGTTGAGGATTTCCTTTTGACTTATGTTGTGTTTTTCAATAAATCACATGATATTGCTTCAAAATTACTTAAGTGGTTTGAGCGTCCTCAACTAAAAGATAAGGTATTTTTTTACTATTGCTTTAACTGAGGTTTAGAATTTTTATTTTAAATTTTGAGCATTTTTGAGTATTTATTTTTATTACTAATCTTATGTTAATTTTTCTCTATTATTAATATTATTTTCAATTTTTTTTTTAATGAATAAATTAAAATTAAAATGTTTATTTAAAAAGTCTTTTTGATATTATATTAACTATTTTAATGTTATAAATGGTATTCAACATTGTCTTATTTCAATATATGTCATTTTAAAATTTATGTTATATAAAACATTTTGTTTCAAGTCAATATGGCAGTAGTAAATACTATGCAAAGATAATAAAGATGCATCCTAATATCAGAGTATAATCACTCAGTTACAATTTTTGATCACTTTTTAATATATTGCTTTGCAGTTTGTTTTTTTTTTTTTTTTTGAGGGCAGGGGTTATATATAACTGCTATTGTTATTTTTATTTATAGTTTTTAAATTATTTATAGTTTTTTTCTTAGGTAACTAGAGTTATGCTTCTTTGGGTTAACAACCACTTTTCAGACTTTGAGGGAGATGTCTTTATGGAATCTTGTTTGGAACGTTTTGAGTATTTATTAGAAGCGAAAAAAATGCTTGGACAACTGCGTCTTCTAAATATGGCTTGCTCTGCTAAGTCTAAACCTCGAATTATTAATTTACAAAGACTTTCTAAAGAGACTCATTTAGATTTTTCAATATGCGGTGGTCGAGAAAAAGGTTTTCCAATTTTTGTTTCAAAAGTCAACTATGATTCTAAAGCAGCTGAATTAGGACTTAAGCGAGGTGACCAAATTATAGAAGTGAATGCTCAAGCTCTTGATCAATTCAGTTGTTCAAAAGCAATAGATTTCCTTATGTCAAATGCCCATTTATGTTTAACAGTTAAAACAAATACAATTGGTTTCAAAGAAGTCATACAACCAACTGCAAAAAAAACTCAATCTAGTCATGGAAGTTTAGATGAAACAGTGCTTAGTCAACAAATTGGTGCATTAGATCTTAGAGTTTCTAACAATAAACTTGGGACTTCTACAATTAGTAGGAGCTCCTCTGATGTTAATAATGTTAAAGGTAACAAAAAAGCCAAGAACTTTTCTGATATGACTGATAGTTTGGCATCCATCTCTGGCAGTTCTACTCTTCCTAAAAATAGTAAGCTAAAACGAGCTATGCTGAAGTTTAGTTTCATGCCTAGATCACCGTAAGTTTTGTCCTAATTCTTTTTAAATTTGAAGTATATTAGTTTAATAAAAGTTTAATATATATAATATAATGATCATAATATTGACATTATGATTTTCATATTATATATTATATTATTTTCTTTTACAGATTATTATATAAGGTTTATTTTGTAATTAATATAGTATGCATATTTTATGCCTATCTATGAATTAAAAATTCTGTGTAAAGAAATGTATTTTATATATGATTAATAAGTATCATTCATGTAGTACAATGTATTCTGATCAGGTATACATCTTACTATGCAAAAGCAGTCATACTTTAAACTTATTGGGAGTTTTTTTGAGTATTTTGAATTGTCCTTAAAAGTTAATATTGAACTCGTACGGAGCTCAGCTCAGTCTTTACCAAACCTAGTAGATAATGTCCAAATAAATGATTTAACTGAAAATAACTGATCTCAGGGGTGTATGCTTGAACTTTTGGTTGATTGCAAGAAGTGCAACTGAAAGTAACCAGTTCGTTGATTTTGGTTGCCTACCAAATATAAAAAAACAATTTACAAATACTTTAAAAACCTTTGCTTTTAATGTGTTGTAATTAAATTTAATTTTAAATAGCACTAAAAATCATTAATATCAACTAATATAAAAGTTATTGATAGAATTTGTTATTAATATTCTATTCAATATTTGAAAAAAAAAAAATATTTTCTTATAAATTATTTCTTTAAACAATCTTATACCTTACATAATCTTTTGTTTGTTTATCACAATTTATTTATTTTAATTTTTACATATTTAATGTAGTATTTTTAATAAAGATAATAAACAATTTATAGATAGGTTTTATCATTTACCCATAAGATATTTGTAAATGTAATTTATGTTCATAAATGTATTACGTCAAAACAACTCAACATTATATTTAATTAATAAGAAACAAAAAATTTTAAAAACATGTGAAAAGAATTCGCTTAAACAAAAACATTTCTCTCTTTCTATTAGGGTTGTACCGGAATGGAAATTTTAAATTTCTGAAATTGAAATTGCTAGATTTATTAATAAAATTCTGTCCAAAATTCCGGTTGAAACAAGAATTATATTTATGTTATTTTTTAACTTCAAGATTAAACTAAAAGCCTGTACCTCAGCATCGTGGCTTTATAATATTAATTTATAACCTATATATATATATATATATATATATATATATATATATATATATATTATATATATATATATATATATATATATATATATATATATATATATATATATATATATATATATATATTACCTAATTCATTAATTTGATTCTTGTTTTATTTAAATCAAAAATGTTGTTTTTATTTTTTTTATAATATTATTTATTGAAAGTTTTAAACTGCATAATATTTATATTTAAAATTATTACTTTATTTTGTATTTTTCTATTTTGGTTAAAATTAAAATATTTACTGTAGTAGGCTCATCTATAGTTCTGATTGTAGGACAAATAATTTTTGATTTAATTAACAGTCTGTGTCACACGTCTTAAAAAAAAAGGTAAAAAATAAGTTCCTGCATTCTGGCCTGAAATATTGTAATTCTTGCTGTAACCAAAATGAACTGAAAGTCACGAATTCTGGCCATAATGCCGGTACAATTCTACTTTTTATAAAAAATTTAATTTGCTTTTGCATATTTATAAACTACGATAATTTATGGTGGAGAATTATCTTTAATGTAATGAATTAATAGATGGTAAAAAAAAATTCTTTAATAAAAATTGGAAAACCAGGCTTGGTCGGGAAGCGGGAGTGATCGCTCTCGAATACTGACCACGGAAATTATATTTAGTTGCGTAAAACTGGCCAGGTTTTTTAGTCGTTTTGAGAACATTTAAGTTTATGTACGAAACACAGAATTTTTGTTTTACGGACATACATGGAAACATAATAAACTAGAATGTTCTCAAATTATCTTCGTGCGAAAGAATAAAAAGAATATTTGCGAACACTAAAAACCCGCCAAATTAACAAACAAACTAATTCTATTGGTTCAAAAAATACGCTGATTAAGCGAAATAAAGTTCTAGAGTATTCTGTTAAAATGTTTTAGAAATTGTATTATTCACGATTTGTTACGTTTTGAGATTTCTAGTATTGTTTTAAGAATATATATTATTTGTTTACGAAAATAAATGTTTTAAATATATATTAATTAAATTGTTAAAATTTTAAAAGTTTATTATAAATTATAGATTTTATTAGTATATTCTTATTTTTTATTTTAAAAGAGATTGTATTCTTTATGTAAACGTAATTTTGTGTATTTGTTTTTTATCGTAATGTATCTTTTAAAGCAATTTTTATGATTTAAACAAAGACTTACAAAAATAATTGCGTTTTCAATGAAGTTATAATCGTAAAAGTTAATAAAACTAATTATGTAACAAACATATAAGAAGTTTCTGGTTACTTAACACAAACAACGCACGACAGAACACAAATATATAATAGCAAATAATTAGATATAAAGAAGAGTTTCTAGATATTGGTTTACTAACTCTAATTATTTTCACTTAAGTTGCCATTCTTAAAACTCGTTATACTTTTTTCTACTTTAAATACTAATTAAAATTAAAAACCCACTCACTAAACATCATCAGCGATATTGTGAAGCAGTTTCGCTTCCTGGTCATTACGTATTTTTAACCTTTTTAGTTGATTTCTATCTTGATAATTTAATTCCTATAGTAATTCAATGATTTAATTATTTCATTTGTTTATCTTACTAAGAAGAATCGCTTCAAATATGTTAAACTTTTCAAACTACGCGAAACATAAAATAGGTATTAAAAAAATTAACTTTTTTATTTATAAAAATAAATTAAGCTTAAGTAAAACTAAAACTTGCAAACTTAGTTAAATAAAGAATATTTGTTTCCCTTTTAAACAATCGTAAGTTGTTACTTTATATTAAAAAAAATCGCTTAATTTTATAAAAAAAATTTATAAAAAAGCGATGTTTCGTAAATATTTGTTCTAAATGTAATTTATTTAGCTTAAAGTTTTTTCGCGTTTAAAGATACTTTATTTGTCTACTTTTTTTTTTTTTTGTAATTGTCTCTCATCGGTCCAATTAATCTTTGTCGCTTTTTTTTTTTTGCTTTTTAAAATGTTCTCAAAACGACTAAAAAATCTGGCCAGCTTTTCGCAACTAAATATTATTTACGTGGTCAGCAATCGAGAGCGATCGCTCCCGCTTCCCGACCAAGCCTGGAAAACTATTTTACATTCCTTTAAAACTAAATTTTACATTCAGCGTTTTACTATTTTACATTTCTTCAAAAATTACATTTCAAAACTAAATTAAAATAGGACTTAATATTTTATGTCAGATATTAAAACTTTAATATTCCAAATAAAAAAGTTTTTGCTTAACATAAAACAACTGAACGCATACTTAAAATGTATGCCTAACACTTCAAAGACCATTCAAAGTATTTTTTTTGACAAATTGAGTTTTTATTTTTATTTTTTATTACTTCATCTCTAAATCCTTAACAAAATTTGTAAAAAAATAAATAGTATTTTAGTTCAAATGATAAAACTTTATTTTTTATTTAGGAATTATTTTTTTAAATAGGCTTAAATGTTCATACAATTTTTTATGTCCTAATTAATAATAGAAAATGCGAAAAACAAACTTTGGCACTGTGACATTCAAAATATAGTTTTATTATTATTTTAGATTACTTTTACTTTCTTTTTATAGAATTCTCAAATTAAAAAAAAAACAAAAACTAGGGCTGTGCATAAAAGTTAATAGTTGCCCATTTAGGTGACTTTGTGTCTCAAATCATGTCTAATTTTTTTGTTATCATTTGTTATTAGTATTGTTGTAGCCCTTTTATACATATAACAGTCAAATAAGTCAAAAATTATTCACTGTAATGTAAAATTGACCATGTTAAGTTTTACTTAAAAGTTTTGTTTTACAATTTTATGTTTACAATCAAATACAACAGCTTTTTGTTGTTCCAAGTAAAAATTATTTACTGTAGTTAATTACTGTAAAACTGACCATGAAAGTTCTGACATGTGGCCATGATGAGTGTGTGTTCCTACTCTTAAAACCAGGTTGGTTGGTTTAAAGTGTAAAAAATGTGTTTAGTGTGAAAAGAGTGGGGAGAGTAAGGAAAATAAAAATCCAATTGATTTTTTTCATTCTTAAAATCTTTTGAAGAAAAATTTTTCATTTCCTACTTTTTTTAGAATATGCTTTTTAAATAACATTTTCAATATTCTACATTTTTTGTTTAGAAGTGAAAGAGAGCTTAACAAGTTAGATTACCAAGATAGTACTCAACCATTCACTAGATCTTTTACTAAACCTTCACAAGATTCACATAACCAAACAAATGCAGATGATAACCATTCTACAGATGATGAATATGAAGATACAGTTATTAAGGTTTATCGTAGTGATCATACTAGCAAGTTTTTTATTCTAAGAAAAGTAAGTTATAATATAAATTTATTATATTTTTTACTGTTTCAGTTCACTGACACTAGTGATAGTTTACACTGTTTACTGACACTGTTGGTAGTTTGCACTTTTTAGTAAAACTGTCGGTAGTTCACACTGTTTATTAATACTGTCGGTAGTTTACACTGTTTGTTTACACTGGTAATAGTTTATACTGTTTACTGCCACTGGTGGTAGTTTACACTGTTTACTGACACTTGCTTACAGTTGAAGTCTTAGTTCAGGACTAATTTTGTTTGGCAAAAAGATAATTTTTAATATTAATTTTATGAATTTTTTTTTTTTATCTAGTAAAAAATGAGATATTTTGAAATTCCTTGTTTTACATTTAAACAGTAACCAATATTTTTTTGTTGAAAATCATATTAAGCGCAATTATTCTAAAGCCCAATAAAATTTTGCTAAATTGTTTACATACATTCGAATATTTAAAAGTAGATTAAAATAACTTATTTTAAAGAATCTAATAACGCTTTTCAAAAGAACTTACGCATTATATTAAATATTATACTCTAATAGTATTAGAGTATAATATTTAGTGTAATGCATAAGTTGATTGCATGACAAGATTAAAAGTAGGGTGTCCTGGATAACATTTTTTTATTATCCGACCGGATATTGAATACCCTTATAATTAAACATTATCCAGCCGGATAATATAATTCAAATCCTAAAATATACATTTTATAATGACAAAATTTAACCATAAGAATCCTTCAAAATGGCAAGTTTTGTTTGGAAACTTTTCAAAAAAAATAATAGCTGTGTTTTCATAGTAATATGCATCCCATGTGGAAAGCAGATAAGCAGGGGATGTAATAAATCTGGTCAGAAGTCATTTTGCACAACTCCATTGTGTAATCATGCAAAAAAAAAAAAAATTCGTTGTAAATTGTATAAAAAGGAAAGAAAAAAAAATTGAATCTTCTTCAGCTGCACAAGGAAGTTCAAAATGTATTAAATTCTGATCAAGTCTCCTTTTTGAAAGCTGCTCAAGGAGTTGATGTTTTCTTTAATCACTCAATTATAGAAAAAAATGATGTTTTAAATTATTGGAAACACGAAGAGAAGTTTCAACTGCTAAAAGAGTTAGCACTTGGTTTACTAGCACCGCCTGCATCCTCTGTATGAAAATTGATTTCATTATTTATGAGAAAAAGTGAATAAGGCTAAAAATGTGAATTTCTCCACGTTGAGGTAAAAAAGAAATATAAATGAGTGATAAATAGATGATATTTATTGTGCATATATTATTTTAGTTGTATTTTATTAATAATAACAATATTGAACAGAAACCATTAACATTAGATTATTTAAAAATGTAACATTTATAGTTTTCTTTCAATTTTCAAATGATGTTAACATGAAATATCTGGTAAAAAAACCTGATAAAGTTATTATCTGACCAAATATCGGATACCAAATAATACTGCTATCCGGCCCGAATATTCAGCTGGATAGCTTATCCGGGACACCTCTAATTATAAGTAGCTTTTGACATTTTGTGAATCAATAATCACTACTTGATTTAATATGGCTCAGCTTTTAAAGAAATAAACTTGGAGAAAAATTAGGCTGTCAAATGTATTCAGTTAACAAGATAAGAACAAAATAACAGATTGAATCTGTTATTTTGTTCTTATCTTGTTAACCGAATACATTTCAAGGAGAAAAACCTTTTGAAAAAAAAAAATTACACCTTTTGAAAACAAAAAAAAAATTCCAGTTAAGCTCATATTAATATACAAATATGAATAGAAAACATTAAAGATGAAGTTTGTGAATCAGTGGGACATAATTTTAATCTAAAAAATTTTAAGAAATCAAATCTCAAATAATATTAAGCAAAATCCTAAACCATTTAATGAGTTATATGAAGATCCTCACAGGAGTAGCATCTCTTAAATTTGATATATCTTTAGCTTTTTATCTTTATGCATATCTGCTTTCTGACAAGATTATTCAAATCTAATTATTTGACTCCAAAAATAGCTCATTTAACATATGATCCTAAAAAAATTTTAAGAACCAAACAAGAGGTTATGGTTAAAACTTAATTTTGGTCAGAATTATTGAAGTACTTTTTAAATAACTTTTTTTTAAGATATTTGTTTGATAAAACAAAAGATCCTACTTTGATTTTTGCTAAAACTACAAACCAACCAAAATACAGCTATTTGGCTTTATAACTAGATGGTTCCCATAGAAACTGATCAAACTTTAGTTGTGATTGGCTTAGACTCTACAAATTCAATGATTTGGTTTAGTAATGATAGTTATTAACTCATCTGGAGAGACAATGTAACAATCTTTAGTACGGCAGGTAGCTTACAACTGATCAGGCAATCTTTTGGCATTACATAAATGAACATGGCTTAGAAGATGATATTTTTAAAATGCTAAAAGTTCTCACTCAGTTTGTGGCTCAAGTATATTTTTATATGTGATTTAGAATCAAGGTGAAACATTCTATTGTTGAAGGGCACCATCATCCAAACAAACTTCTTTATCAAACAGTCAAAGTTAAAGATGCTTTACAAAATTATTTAAAATAGAGCATTATGAATTCTTTCTAATTTCTCTACTTATAAAGTTAAAGGATATTCAGAGCTACATTTAAATTTTGTTTTAACACAGCTATATTAGCTTATGGTCAAAGCAAAGATGCTGAATTTTTAACAATCCAAAATCTACTTTTTCATATAGCCAGTATAAAATTTCTCAATTTTATAAACTTATGTTGTTTGTTAAGTTGTTTTAACAACCATGTGTTGCTTAGAAATATCACACAATAAACCACCCTAAAAGATATATATATTTTTTAATAACAAGTTTTTTAAAAGTATGATATACCTTTATATATACTTATGCTATTTACTGTTATATATATATGCTGTTCACTGACAGGATGGCTCTGTTGTTCATAATTTCAATTGTCATTGACAGGATGGCTAAACTCTGTTGTTCATAATTTCAATTGTCACTGACTGGATGGCTAAACTCTGTTGTTCATAATTTCAATTGTCATTGTTTTAATGTTATTACTACTTTATCTTATGCTGTTATTGTTTTGTTATTAACTGCTGTTATTTTATCATAGTTATATTGACATTCTTATATTTTACAAAAATGTTTTATTGCTTTATATATATATATATATATATATATATATATATATATATATATATATATATATATATATATATATATATATATATATTGTTTTATTCTTTTGAATATTATTATTATTATTTTTTTTTTTGGAATGTTATTTAATATCATTGTTCAATTGTTCTGTTTCTTCTTTTTATATTTATTGTTATTATTTATGACAGGATACCATTGCTAAGCAAGTTGTAATTAGTGCTTTGGAAGCTTTCGGAATCACAGATTATGCTAGGTAATGATCTGAATATGCTTTAAATGGTCTGCATTATTTTTAATTTTTTTTTTATTGGTGTATTTTAATACTGAGCAAACGTAAAAAGATTGTTTTAATATGGAGCATTGTACATGAAATGTTTTAAAATAAAGTTAAGGATAATTAAAATAAAGTTAAGGATAATTAAAAAGAGGTATAAAGGTTTAAATTTTAACATATTTATTTTTTTTTAAATTAAAAAGTTTTGCTTCTGTGATTGTTGTTGGTTAATTTTACTTTGACTGTCAATTTTGCTGGAATTGAATGTTATTACTATCAAAATTTGGTAAATCTGGGTTTTTGCTTTGGCAGAAACCAAGTTCTTTATTTTTGCAATAATTATTCAAATTGTTTTTAGAAATTTTAAAATCAACTCATAAAGTTTGGAAAAGTATTGAAATAAATAGAAAAATTGTATTTTCCATAATTGTTCTAGCAACCTGAAAAGTCATTAAAATAACTGTTTTATCCTTTGATCTAATTTGAAACAAATTTGAAAATAACCATAAAAATAAAAATTTGAAAATAAAATTTGAAAAGTTTGCTCCTAAAATCATTCAGCATTAATGTAAAGGATACTTTATATAAATGAATCTTTATATCACGTTTTTATCATTATTTATTTTATTATTTTTATCATTTTTGTTTTAATACAACTTTAACTAAAAGGAGTGTTACTTTTTTTATTTTTTTATTTTAAATATATTTATTTTATAAATATATTTTATTTTTTATACTAAATATATTTTATTTTTTATTATTTTATCTTTTCCCTAGCAAATCTTATTTCTTGTGTGAAGTAACAGTAACTGAAGATGGTCTTATTAAGCAAAAGCGCCTTCCTGAGAAAACAAGTAACCTTGCATCTCGAATTTCTCTTAATAGCAGGTAAATATTGATTTTAATTAAAAATTTAATTGGTCTAAAAAGTTTCTGTTTGTTTAAAAGTTAATTCATGTGGATTTTTCTTTACAGGTATTATATCAAAGCTAGCATTTCTGAAGGACCGATTTCTGATGAAGTAGCTCAGGTGATTTTTAAATACTGTGCATTTAATTACTCATTATTGAAAATTTAGTTTTGCATTATTAAAATAATTGTTTGTATGTGATTTTTTTTTCAATTTTAAATCAAATCATATCTAATATGAAAAGCTTTGCTCTAAGTAGTTCATTTACTCAGAAAGAGTTATCAAAAACATATCCAATATTTTTGCTGGCAATTAAATTTTTATTATTAAAGTATCAATTATTGTTTTCATTTTAAATAAAAATAATTTTAAATGTTAATTGTATTGGCATGTTTAATTTTTTGTATAAAAAGTATTTTTTTGATCTTATATATTGTATATATTTTGTATTTTGTAGGAAATTGCTAGGGAAGCAAATTTTAATTTGCTTCAACTTACTCCATTAGATGTTGCTAAAGAATTAACATTGCAGGTTTTTTTTTGTTTTTGTTTCTTTATTGTGAGTCTTTTTGTAACTTTTATTGTTTTTACTTAATTTGCTCTTGTTTTTTACTTTTTTAAAATTGTTTTTATTTTTTTACAAATCAATTTAAATTTAAGGATTTTGATCTTTTTCGAAATGTTGATTCCAGAGAATATATTTATAATTTATTTGAATCCAATAATGAAAGAAAGTCGAAAAATTTGAGATGTGTTGAGCAGGTAATTTTTTTAATTTTTAATTTTTAATCATCTTATATATCTTTTTTAAATACTAAGATAAACTTTAAACATATATGGGTTTTATTAAATGGAAGAATTTAATTTGTAATTTAAACATAGAATACAAGTACATAGGTTTTCTGTACTCTTTGTATTCTTTTCTATACTCTTTGTAAAAAAAAAAAATTCCAGATTTTCTGATAAAGACCTTTTTTTTAGTTAAAATGTTAAATTGTTTTTTTTTTTTTTGAAATATTAAATGTCAGGTTAAAAACAAACTTCATCATAACATTTATTTTTGAATTTGATCACATTGGGGATTTTTTAAACATAAGACTGATTAAAAATAATAGATATAAATAAATAATTCGAAAAGTCACTTATGTAATGTCATATTTTTAACATTCTTTTAAATTTTATATGATGTCATATTTATACATATTCACAAGTTTTTGTAAAACTCAATTTTTTTAGTATTAAACAAACATTAAATTTTATGACCTTTTTTCAGACCACCAACACTGAGATGTTTTGGGTGATTAGTGAAATTTGTCTAGAATCAAATATTGCAAAGCGTGTGAAATTGTTAAAATATTATATCAAAGTAGCGAGTAAGTTTTTTCATAGTTACAAAATTTTTTTGGATTTTTTTATAATTTTAATAAGCTTTATTTATATGGTTTTTATATTTTTTAACCTGAAAGTAAGTTATTACTTTATTATTTAATTACTATATTATTATTTTTTTATACATTTATTGACTACTAAGAATGTAGGTTAGCATGGTAATAGATTAAATTTTACACAAAGAAATTTGTTAAATAAAGTATGCCAACTTCAACAAATTTGCAATTATATGAAAATAAATAAGTGAAAGTTTGTTTTAAGTTATTATTATTTTTTTTTTGTTTGAATGAATTTCAGCATCAAATAAAAAACAAAAAGTTATAAACAAATTTTAGAAGTTATAGTTGTTTTATTAATAATAATTAAAAAATTGTTCAAAAAAAAAAAATTCAAATTTTAAATTCATAAAAGAGTGTCATAATATGCATATTTAGTTGCTGATAAAATATCACTGATGATGTTGATGCCATATACGGAGACTTCAGCATTTGAATTTTTGCTGAAACAGAAGTTAAAACTGTCAATTTGAAATAGGTTTATAGACATTTTAGTATTTGAAGACCACACAAGTAAAACGAAAATCAAAATGCTCACCTTTTCTTATTTTAAGTAAAATGAAATATTGTGTTTGAAGACATCAGATATTAGTTTAGTTTTAACAAATATAAAATTATTAAAATTTTTTTTAGGCACTTTAATTATTATGTATAAGTGCAGTCATTCTGATAATTACAAATAATACTGAATGTTTATAATCACCCGGGTGACTGTTTACCTGATTCCTTAACACAGTAATTACTCACTAGTGGTTAATTATAATAATAAAAATAAATTATTCTCATGCGCTTTAAGGAATTATTTAATTAGTTTAGACTTATTATTATCTGGTGAAACATTTTAATATCAGTTTAGTGGTAATTTTAAAAAAATTGAAATTTTCACTTTACAAAGTAAATAATTAATTATTTAATTACAAATATGTAATAAATTATGATTTCGAATGAATATAATTAATGGTAATTCTAAATAAATTATTTTTTAAACAGTTATTCATTAACAATTGCTAAAAACAGTTACCCTTGGCACCTTTGAATTGCTATCTACAGGTGCCATGGAAACACCTCTAAATTTACTTATATTTAATGTTTACTTTAAAACAAGAAAAAACATTTTAAACATCTGTGGTTTCCTGCTGTGAATTTTTTCAACATACTAACTTAACTTCATTCATTGTATGTATTTTTTATATGTACATTCTTTCATTATATGTTCATTCTTTCAACATACTAACTTTATAGTCTAGTCTGTTTAAAATAATCTAGCCTGTTATAAATGATCTAGCATGTAAAAAAGTAACAGGCATAATTATTTCAGTTTTCTCTGAAGCAAATTAGCCTTAGATATTTTAATTTCTCTGAGCGATTGTCTCTTATAATTTGAATTTTTACCTTTTCTAAGTGAATGACTCATAATATTTTGGTCATTATGCTAGAATTTTGATTTGCAGTTTCTGTTGCATTCCATATACAAACAAACTCTAACTGGAAAAAAGTAGTAATACTGTCAAATTTTTCATGAACTAAATAACATTAGTGTATAACAATTCAAATTTTTATTTTGTGAATAACAAAACAGTTTGATTTGATTATTTTAAAAATCATTAAGAAGTTGAACACACACACATCAAACCGTTTGTTGCCTATTGTTTCAATATAGCAATAAATATTTACCATAAGAATAGAAATTGTTGGAAAAGGATAGTTGACTGAAGTGATTTACATCAAAAGTTAAAATGTTTAAGCATTTCATAATTTAACATAATAAGCACAACTTATGCTTTTATCATAGTTATGCTGTAAATATCTTTGAAAACTTTATTTTTTACCAAGTAACATGTTGCAACTGTTCGTTTCAAAGATGCATATTTGTAGTGCTCCAATTTAGCCAAAAGTTAAGATTGGTGTTAATTTTTTAAATTGAGAATAGAGCATTTTATTATTATGGTTACTCTATAATTAATTATGGTTACAGATTAATTTTATTTTTGTTTTGATTAATAAATTGATTTCTTAATTATTTATATTAATTATTAAATTAATACTTAATTATTTATTATTTATATTTTTCTTTTATACATATTTTACAGGTTGAATGTCTTCTACTGTTTGATTACTCTTTATTTAGTCACAAAATTTAAATTAATATCTTTTAAATTTCACACCAATATTTTATATAATAAAGTGTTTATGTTTTTTCAGAATACTGCAAAGATTTTAAAAATTATAACTCCATGTATGCCGTTATAAGGTATGTTAACTTGGTTTGGGTTTTATAAAAGTTTGTAAAATAGTTCTTGACATTCTTAATTACCATAATTAAGTGTTTGAAATTTTTTAATATTTAAATTGTGTAAAGCTATGTTCTATTCTTGTTTATCAGTGTGCTTTTGTTTTTCAATGTTTTATTCATATACAGGGTTTATGATAAAGTGAGAGCAACCACTTTACGCAGGTTAAATATAGATGCAAATGGAATTCTTATGATAAAGCGAGAGCAACCACTTTACGCAGGTTAAAGATGCAAATGGAATTCTTAAGACTTTCAGGCCTGAAAAGTTGTTAATCCTAAAAGCATAAAATAACGGTTGTCTCTAGAAGTTGGGAGGAAGAAATGATGAGTTGTTTAGGAGCAGCCGTGGCGCAGTGGTTAGAGTTCTGGTTCAGAACCCAGAGGTCCGAGGTTCGACGCCAGCTCCAGCCCAACAAGCAACATTGGTACGGAAGGAGGCGTGAACTTCCTATTAAATGCTCTCCCGCGGTGCTTTATGATAAGTCCATAAGGACTTCTGGGAGCACCTAAATACATACAAAAAAAAAAAGTTGTTCATTTGATTTTATATAAAATAGTTTTGATAAAAATTTACCGTTAAGGATTTAAAAAAAAAGCTTTAACAAAAACATATGAACTTTACTGTTTAATTCCCTTTCACACTTTAATAAAAGAAACTTGGACAAACTTTGTAGCAAGTTGCAAAGATATCTAAAAAAAAAGCATTTTATCTTACTGCTATAAAATGTGAAAATAAGAAACTGTAAAATTAGAGATGTTTTGTCAAAATATTGGGTTAAAGCATTAGTAATGTTCTTTATTTTAAACATTAGTAATGGAAATTTGAAGGTGTGAAGTCCAGAGGATTTGCAATATGAATAAATCCAGAGGATTTGCAATATTGTTGATCAGGTTGCTTTTGTTGTATAAAATTATTAAGATGTTTTAACGTAAGTGAAACAGATACCATCTTGAAAGTAAAAATTTCCATTTTTGTATTTAGCAATTTAATTCTTTGCAGCTCATTCAGGCATTTCTTCATAAACTTTTCAAATCTCTTGTTTATGCTTCTGCAGCATTTGCCCCTTGGTTTAACATAAAAAGAAGAAAGCGTCAAAAATGTTTATTTTGGTTGACTTTAATCTAAAAAATAAAAAAAACTAGTCTCAAACAATAAAATTAAAAATGCCATCTTGTAGAGAAAAATTAAGTCTAAACATAACAACTGAATATTTTTGAACAAAACTTCTTTTTAAACTTTTAAATTTTGAGTTTAAATAAGTTTGAGCTTTGTGTTGATCTTCAGTTTTTAAGGGTAATAAAAAACAGAAGATATCATGGTATCAAAGTTTGTATTTGGTTTAGATACAAATCTTGATATCGTCTTCATAAAAAGCTTTAACAGATGTTATATCCAGCTTGTAAACTGTTTGTAAATATTGGCCTTTAACTAACACAACAGCTTTGCTGCTATTGTAAGTATAGATGTGTTCACTATTTAAAAAGTTAACAATTTGACAATTAGCATTATTTGGTTTGTTTCAAAGTTGGTAAGTTTTAATAATTATTTTGTAGATTTAGCAATAAATTGGTCAAGTAAAATATATTATGTACTTTAATTGTAAAAAGCTTTAGATGAATGGAATGAAGGTGATCAAATATGCCAAAAATAGTGTTAGTCAACACTATTTTGTTAAATGCATAGCAATTGCAGTGCCTGGAAGGTGTTCCAATATTATGATAAATGATCAGTTTTTCTCAATTCTATATGATGCTTGAAAAACTAAAAAAAGATGTTTCAGCTTGAATTGAAAGAGAATGGTGCTCTTTTTTTTATATGGTGTCTAATCTGCTTGATATGGAAAGGCTTTGTGGAAGTAGACATTACGTAAAAAGCAGAAGTAGACATTACGTAAAAAGCATCAATAATATTTTTGAAAAAGGGCATTTATATTAGATCCCAATGATATTAAAACAAATTAGTATAATGCTATATGGAGCAAGTAAACTTCGGCAAACATCGCAGTATCAATGTGCAAATTAAAGCAGTAAAAAATAGCTACTTTCAGTTTATTGTATCAATCATTAAATAGAACTGGTATTCAAAAATGTATTTTTTGACAACTGCAAGAAATAATAAGTTCATCTGTGGCTTTAGGAAAACAGTAATTTATATTAGAATTAGTTGTTCAATTTTCAATCTAAGAGCTTTACAAAGGGAAGATGCATTTTGAAATTGTTTTGTCTATTAGTCTATTGTTTCAGCTCAATGATAACATGATATTGGGTAATATGATAGTGATAATATGGTTTTGGGAAACCATCTGGTTATAGAAGGAATAAAAACCAAGTAAAAAAAAGTTGATAATATTATAACATGATTGGTAATGATCCCAATGACAACAGTTGAGTAATAATACTGCTGTTAAACATATAATGAGTTATATAGTTGTTAAGAATTTTAGTCATTAATAGAATGAAAAATGATTTCTTATGCCGTGATTAAAAAAGTATTTCTTATGCCATAATATTATAATCTAATAATTCAATTAATTTTTCAACAATAAAAATATGTAACAAAAGAAAAACTAATTTTAAACTAAATTCAATTTGATAATAATAAAAAAAAACACCCTCAAGAGTTTTTTTTTTAAGAGTGATCTTTTAGCGTTTGCAAGACTAAAGAAAGTTTACTCTGTAAGGCATACGAGGAGCGCGTATAATCGCACTTGTTGACAATATATTTTAATTTTACATAGAATAAATAACGCACTGCACAATTTTTTATGCTCTGAATTTATCAGTGTTTTTTTTTTGTTTGTTTTGTTTATTATTATGCTTTTCTTTTTTGTATGTTTAGTTTGCTGTACTTGTGACATTGTGTCGTAATTTTAGTATGATTGTAGTACAAAGTTGATTGTTTATTTTGGACTTGATTATACTTTTAGCGGCTTAGCTAATACTGCTATTTCGAGATTAAAGCATACTTGGGAGAAACTTCCTCAAAAACATGAAGATATGTTTCAGGTACATTTTACTTTTTTTTTATTGAACGATGCATGGTGGTTAGTTTTTAATTAATCTTTTGTATATGTATATATATATGTATGTGTGTGTATATATATATATATATATATATATATATATATATATATATATATATATATATATATATATATATATATATATATATATATATATATATATATATATATATATATATATATATATATATATATATATATATATATATATATATATATATATATACTTATGTTAAGAGTTAAGCCAATATAAAAGAATTTAAGTTTAACATTTTTATGTTTACTTCAGTAATTTAAGATTTCTAAAAAAAGTTTTAAAAAATTCCTAGAAAATTTTTTTAATTTGATCAAAATGTATTTTATATTATAACTTTTTGAAGTGCTTTTATCAGAATCTTTTATCAGAGTCTGTTTTTACTTGTGACTTGAATTTTTTTTTTCCTTCTTACATAAGTTAAAGGATTTGAAAATATGAAAATAGATACAGTCCTATAATAATACGTAGCCATGGTTATTAAAATATAAAATTACATACAGTTCTTTATTATTATATAGCCATGGTTATTAAAATATGAAAATAGATGCAGTAGTATATTAATATATGGAAATATATATATTTTTATATTGGTTGAATATGATGAAATTCAGCACCTTTTCATTTTTAAATACTCAACAAATTTTTAAAATTTTCATGCACAAAGAGGCAATTGGGGGAAAATGTGTTTAGTTAATTAAAAACACATAAAAATTTTAAAAGATAATTCTTAAAAAAAATAACCCTAGTTTAACTACAATAGTGGTACTAATTTAACTTGTGACCTAAGTAATAAAAACCCTTATTTATAACACAATTATAAAAATAACAAACAAAAAAATGCTAGGTTGTTAAATTAGAACATTAATATTAATGAAATTAGACAACTTAATGACCTATACTGTTGAACAAAAATATTAATGAAATTAGACAACTTAATAACCTATACTGTTTTACAATAAAAAACTTATTAAACTTACCATAATTTTAAAATGATAAAAAGCTTTTTATAAATATATATACAATCCAAGAAATCTCAAGAGTGATAATGAGCAAAATAGCATTGAGCTTGATTGAATGTTTCAAATTGTCACAAGCAACAAGTTATTAAAAGTTTTTGGTCAATTACAAAAGCAACTTTATTGAAAATTAGGAAATTAGTTTTATGTTAAAATCTGCTGGATCTTCTATTTTAGGAAAAAATAGAAGATCCAGCAGAGGAAGAAAATTACTAGCATAAATATTTGGTCTTTAAGTGTTCAATTGAAAATTGTTGAATTAAATAAATAATTCAATCAACTCCATTGTGTCAAAAAGTTACAAAAATCTGTTAAGTAGTTTTTCATTTATTAATAACTAATGAGTGCTGAACCTCATTGTGTTCAACCAATACTATTATGTAGCCATCTTATGGTTAAAAGTTTATGGCTACCATTAATACACCAATTTTTTTGGTAAAAAATATTTTAATAATATTTAATAATAACTTATGCTTTCAAACACTTTTTATTATGATTGTCATAATTTTTCGTTTTAATTACAGGATTTGTTAGATCTCATGGATCCATCACGAAATATGTCAAAATACAGAAACATGTTTACTGGTGAACAGTGTTATCCTCCTATCGTAAGTATAGTATAAAGTATTACATATACTCAGCGTAGTTGAGAAGAGATCTGAAAAATCTGAAATATTTCTTTGGATCTCTCCTTAATTATGTTGAGTACTAGATTCAGTTTTGAATTGTAACAGGTGCAAAATTTGCAAGGTGTTAAGATGTTAAAATCTTTAAAATTTGATGCAATGAGTTAATCTTACTACAAGTTAAACTTGTAGTAAGATTAAACTTCTGTGTCTTATTTAAAGGCTGTCAATTTAAGAGAAACACCAGCACAGCTTTTTTTATTCAGCCACGTTTGTTAAGGTTTATGTTTTCGAGTTGTAGGATTAAAAGCAGGCCTATGAGAGGTGGTGCAGTTTGTGTGTCACATCAATGCTCATAAGATTTTTTAGGGGTCCATGAACAGTAATATTTCTTTTAGTTTTAGTTTTGTTAAATGTCATTTTTATATTGACATTTAACAATAGGTTAGAAAAGAAAGAAGTGTAACACTTCTTTCTAAAATAATTCACAAAGCTAATTTGATACAAAACATTTGGGTACACTGAAAATGATAAATGCTTTGACAGAGTGCAAACTAAAAAGTATATTTCTAAACCTCATTGACAATTTGAGGATAATCCTTACAGCACCAGCAGAAAGAAGCTCCAGCAAGCTTAAAAATATAAAAAAATATCCACCATTACATCAGTTTGACATTGCAAAACATATAGACTTTGATACAGTAACCCATAATTTGACTAAGAAAAGGCCATGCAATACAACCTTGTCTAAACAAATTTCTTCTATTTAACAACATTTGTATCATTTATAGATCTTTTATAGACCCTTCTGTGCAAATTTTTGTTAAATCTTTTAATTTGAATTAAAAGATACTAAATACAATTTTCGTTGCATTGTTAAGGAAAGGGCAGGGGGGGTTGCCAAAAAAATTACTGCATCCATAGTCATAATAATTAACTAGTCTGGAAATGCGAGCTGTTGTGAATCATTACCTCAACATCAAACACAAGGACAAGATTACTGATAAACAATTTAGTAAAGAATAAAAGAAAGCAAAGATTATTCTTTATCCTATTAGGTCTCAAAATTATTTAATTCAGATTGCAGTAAAGCTTGCTTTAGTTAAACGGTACCCTGCTATAAACTGAATTTAAAATCAAGTATTTTAGAAGAAGTCAGATTAGTCCTTAGTAAAGATGTAACTAATTCATTTAATAGAAATGCTGAAATTTTTATCGCAGATTCTGCAAAATATTTTCTGAAACAACAACTTCTTTTTAAAACCATAGCCAAAATTGTACTTTTCTTTAAAGTTTTGAAGTAGCAAATCTTTGTTTATCTCACTGGTACCTCTTTATCAATGATATAAAGTTTAAGCATATATCCCACTACATTACTAAAGAAAATATTCTATTATGACTTAAAGGGAATGTTCTTGGTACTATTTTACATTTTATCGTGTTTATCGTATTTGCTTGCTGCTAAATGTGAATGATCGTCTAACACTTTATATACAAGTTCATTGATTTTATATTGCAAAAGATAAAATAAAGCATTCAAGGATTAAAAAAGTTAAACTAAATTGATATATAAAGAACATCAATTAAAAAAACACCCTTTTTTGAAACATAAACATTAAAGAGGAAGCGAGATGTGAGATGAAATGAGAGCCTATTAAAACAGCTGTTTTCATAGTCACATATTTTTAAAAAATATTATTGGTATATAATTAACTCCTGAATTAGTACAATAAATAATATATATTTAATAGTTTTATGGTGTGGTAACTTAATATTAAAATAACAATAAAAGATTGAATAATAAAAATAATATAACTCTCTTTTCAGTTTTATAATAAATAAATGACACCACTAATATTTTACACATGTTTTTAAAAAATATATATATTTAGTTATGAACAAATCTAATAACAATATCTATTTTTCTTTGACTTAACTCTATTATAATTACAAAACTATATTACTATCTTACAATACTTTATAGTACCTGTGTTGCCAAATACATTACATTTTTAGCTACTACAAATATATATTTTTTTAGTTGTATTATTATCAAGACCAAGTCATTTAAAGATGGGTTAAACTTGCAAACACTAAGTGATTGTGTTGAAAATAATTTTCAAATAAGCTTTTCCATATTGTAATAAAATTTTTAATACTGCAAAAATCACTTATAATGCCTTTTCAACAACTTGCAATTTGCTGAAACTTCGTTGCAAGTTTCAAGCAACAACTTTTAAGGAGTTTAGTTAACAAATTTCAATTTGCTTTCTAAAGTAAAAGAAACGTTTGTCATGAAATGGCACCAGTTGTGATAAAGTCAGCTAGATTAGTTAAGTATATCACCATACACTACAACAGACTTTAAAACTAGAGAATATTTATGGGATATTGTATTTTAGTTGAAGATAACCTTAGATTTTTTTGTTGTTTCTCTTACAACAACTTCAGAAAAGGAGAGATTTTTTTCCGGCATTCAATATAACAGAAACGCTTAAACAAGATTTTAAATAGAATTCTGTATCTTAATTTAATACACTGTAATTTTAAAATAGAATTCTGTAATCTTTTTTTAACACATTGCTTTTTATTTTTTTAATTAAATCCTGTTTGATTATGTACTTTTGTGCAATATTTGACTTTTTTGCATCAAGTATAACTTTTTTATTTGCTATTATATACATTGCATTACAGCATAATAAAAACAAAAAGTTATATTCTTTTGAATTTTAGTTTAAATAACTTTGATATGCTAGTTATTTTTAAGTATTTATACAAATTAAAATCGTTATATATATATATATATATATATATATATATATATATATATATATATATATATATAGTTTTTTTCAAAATAATTTTTTTCACTGAATGATTTTTTTGCACACAAAAAAAAAACTTTTTTGCACAACATTTATTGTTGGTATTGCACTCTAAAAAAAGGTAGAAGTTCTACCGTAGGATAGGATATGTAAGGTATATGTAAGGAACTTAGTAAAGTATAGTTTTCTGCCTTTTAAGGTAAAAAGTTTACCTTTAAATGTATAATTTTCTTCCTTTTAAGGTAGAAAGTTATATATTTAATTTAGAATAGTGTAAAACAATATAATTTAGGTAATAAATAAGGTATAATTTTCTACCTTAAATGCCAGAAAATTATTCCATATTAAGGGTACACATATCCTACCCAAGGTAGAAATTTCTAACTTTTTTTAGAGTGTGATTCAAGAATAAGGGCTTTTAAACCATCTAAAATGATAAAATAGTACCTGAATTTTTCTTGTTTCCAAAAAAGATACTAACATAATGTAAAGAGTGATATATATTAATTATCAACTAATTTAGCTAAGTAAACTTTATATAAAATATAGAGTTAATCGAGCACTATTAGCTAACATTTTAAATAAATATACTCTGAATATATGATACTAAACATTTATACCCATAGACATAAATCTAGTTATATTGTCGATGAAATGTTTGCATCTATTTTCAACATATTTTTGTGTAGTATATTTAAACCACTACTAACTCTGTCATGTTACTACATTTATTAACTGTTGATGTCTTTGTTTTATGTTATATTCATCATATTTATTCGGAATACAAAATATATATGCAATCCAAAATAATAACTTGAAACTGAATAACCAAAATAAATACAAATCGCTCCTGCCATATCAATATTTATCCCAGAACATATGCAACTTAACTATAGCAAAATACAATGTTTACAATTTGATGCACTCTAAAGTAGGTTTAGCATTGGTATAGAGAGTAACTTGAGTGTTATAAGAAGAATTTCCAGACTAATTGAACACTATGTTTCCAAGACTAGTTAAATAGTATGACTTCCAAGACTTCCAAGATACTATGACTTCCAAAATACTATGACTTCCAAGACTAGTTAAATACTGTGACTATGCTGCATCAGTGCATTGTTATCCTCTCCATGACCCTGGTTAAGTGCTGTAACAACAATTGGAAATAAATAAAAATGAGTAGCCCCCTTTGGCAGAAATTAGAAGGAACTGATCAGAAGAAAAAACTGCTTTAAAAAATTTATTTACGGTTCCATATGATTGTTGTAACTGGCTTACCTCAATAACCTTTTTGCACAATTTTTGCAAACAATTACAGTTATTTTCTCCACATGGTCAGCATATTACGTATTTTTGCTATTTAAAGTCAATAATGCTTTATGGCATCACTTGGAAATGAAGAGTTGTTGTTATAACTGGCTTATTTCCATAATCTCAAGGTTATTGTTAAAACTGGCAAACCTCAATAACCTTAAAGTTATTGTTATAACTGAATTAACTCGACAACCTCAAGGTTATTGTTATAACTGATTTCTTTTTTGACTAAGCTTGAAATATACATTATAGTAAAATAAACAAAACTCAATATACATTATAGTAAAAATGCAATTACTACTGTAAGAGATTAAGTAAATTATTGTTCTCTTGGTAATTATATTTGTTATTCCCATCTACTAAACACCAGCTCAAACAGTATGGGTGTGTTTAAAACACCAGCTCAAACAGTATGGGTGTGTTTAAAACACCAGCTCAAACAATATGGGTGTGTTTAAAACACCAGTTCAAACTGTATGGGTGTGTTTAAAACACCAGCTCAAACTGTATGGGTGTGTTTAAAAAACTAGTATCTATTATACTTTACTTACAGTTGTGAACTTCATTTTAATTACCAATTACAAAATACAAAATACAAAATACAAATTTATAAGTTTTACCAATTACAAAATACAAAATACAAATTTTTAAGTTTTACCAATTACAAAATACAAAATACAAATTTATAAGTTTTACCAATTACAAAATACAAAATACAAATTTATAAGTTTTACCAATTACAAAATACAAAATACAAATTTTTAAGTTTTACCAATTACAAAATACAAAATACAAATTTTTAAGTTTTACCAATTACAAAATACAAAATACAAATTTTTAAGTTTTACCAATTACAAAATACAAAATACAAATTTTTAAGTTTTACCAATTACAAAATACAAAATACAAATTTATAAGTTTGAAAGTAGTAGAATAAAAACAAATTGTTTTTATTTTTATTACTTTCAAACTGAAATTTTTCTCTCCTAAAAAAATTGAGATTTTCATTTATAGGTTATAATCACTGTTTGTGTATTTGTTTAATCATCTATTTGTGTGCTAGCTTAACCTCCTGTTAAAAAAACATTTTATAACTATGTCAAGTTGAAAAATATTTCCCAAAAATTATATCAATAATTTGCAATTTTAACAATTTTTAAACAATAATATGCAATTTCAAAGTTTCTAAAGTATTTTATCCAAAAGATTTTTTTATCAAAAAATATATTTATCCTTTATCTTTTTAAAATAATTATGGAAAAAAAAAAAAAAAGGAGGGGGTCAAGGGCAGATTTGGATTATTATTTGAATAGGTTAAGATAAATATAAAAATATTTTACTAAGGAACTAAGCTGCTATTTTGTTTTTGTATTTTAAAAGTTTTTATAATTAAAGTTTTTTTTTCTTATTTAGATACCTTGGTTTCCAATTGTGAAAAAAGACATGACTTTTTTGCATCTTGGAAATGATACCCATGTTGATGGTCTTGTACGTTTGTTGTATAATTTTTTTAAGCATATTTATTAAAGAATAGCGTTTTAATATTTCTTGTTTTTTCAAAGGTTAATTTTGAGAAACTTCGAATGATAGCACGTGAAGTGCGTAGAGTCTGTAAGTTCTGTGCAATTGGTTATGTGAGTTTTTTGTTTTAAACTTTTTTTAAAGTTTTTTTTTTTTTTACCAACATAAAAAAAATTTTTTTACTACTTCCATGATCTGAATTATTGCTGTATCCAGCAAAGTTGACACAGTAGTGTATCAACTTTTGTTAGTATTAAGACAACTTTTATTAGTATTATCAACTTTTTGTTAGTATTGTGTTAACTTTTGTTAGTGTTGTGTCAACTTTTGTCAGTATTGTATTAAATTTTGTTAACAGTGTGTCAACTTTTGTTAGTATTGTGTTAACTTTTGTTAGTATTGTGTCAACTTTTGTTAGTATTGTGTTAACTTTTGTTAGTATTGTGTCAACTTTTGTGAATATTGTATCAACTTTTCTTAGTATTGTGTCAACTTTTGTTAGTATTTTATCAACTTTTGTTAGTATTGTGTCAACTTTTGTTAGTATTGTGTTAACTTTTGTTATTATTGTGTCAACTTTTGTAAATATTGTATCAACTTTTGTTAGTATTGTATCAACTTTTGTTAGTATTGTGTCAACTTTTGTTAGTATTTTATCTTATTCTTCTTTTGATGCCAGTTTTTTGCTACAAAAAAGTTTAAAATAGGTTAGTGAATCAAATAAAAAATCAAAAATATAATTTATTAAATTAAAATGTCTATAAATTAGGACATGCAATTTAGGGTAATTTTATTTTTTATCTTGACAAAATGAATTACTTTAAAATGTGACTCTTTGAAAATAACCTATTTACAACATAGCATAATGTGGAAAATGAATAAAAAAAGTTTGATAAAAAAAAAAAAAATTTAATTGGCCAAAAGCTAATAATTGTTTTGTGAACTTTTTAAAACTTTAAATGTTAAATTCTATTTGAATAGATTGTTAATGATGAAGATAATGGAGGTAAAAAATATATAGAGAGATAAAAAGTATTCATGAATTTGCAACAGATGCACCTACATTTTTTTTTTTTAGCATTTGCAACAGACACATCTACATTTATTTCCTTTTAATAAACATTATTTAAAAAAGTAGTAAATCTTTTTTTTTTTTTTTTTTTTTTTTTTTTTTTTTGTGATACTTCAAGCTACAATACATGTTTGTGCTTATGTCTACAAGTTATTCAACAATTTCGTATATATCTAGGATTCAACAATTTTGTATATATCTAGGATTCAACAATTTTGTATATATCTAGAATTCAACAATTTTGTATATATCTAGGATTCAACAATTTTGTATATATCTAGGATTTAACAATTTTGTATATATCTAGGATTGCAGATTTAGATTTACTTTGTATTAAAGTCACACGTTTAGCCAAATCGAGATGCTTGGCTAAAATCAAACAAAAAAATTTTTATTCACAACCAAGATGCATGCAAAAAAATTGAAATTAATCTCAGGAAGTTAATTATGCCAGTATAACATGATTAAGTTATGAGTATATATGTGTAAGGTCAGTAGTTTGTGGTAGTGATGTAGTGTTAGAGCGCTTGCCTCATATGTGAGATGTTCTGAGTTTAATTCCCACCATATCCATGGTAGCACCGAGTTCAACTAGTTTCTCTGCACAGTGGCCTTGTTCTTTAAGGTTTGTGTTTCAAACTTATAGATATTAGGGAGGGTTGAACTACAACTAAATTAGCCTTCTCGACTGTAGCAATTAACTTTTTGAAAAAAAAATGTGTAAGGCATTAGTTTAAGTTATAAATGTAATCAATATAATTCGAAAAACAAATGGTGAGTTTAAAATATCAGTTCCTCAATAGAAGGCATTGTGGCGCTGTGCTCTTTTTAGTGAAAAAGTTTATAATTTTGATAGCTTTAGCTGACAAAATACCAACAATTCAAGTAGTCATACCTAGACTTTATTTTTTGCACTGAGACTATTTGCCTAGAAACATCATTATATAAACATCAAAGCAAGCACCAATAACCATTTTTTCCAATTTTTTTTTTTTTTGCAGAACAGTTTTATCTTGCCAGTAATGTTAATAATGTTGAGGTTGTTTTTATCAACAGTCAAAATTAAACAGTAGTTATGTATTTTAAAATGTATCCTAGATTTAATAAATAAATGATTTCTAAAAAGTTGTATTTTGTTTTTCATTGATACCAAACTAAAGTTCAAATACGTACTAATAAAAAATAAGTTTAAACTAAATTGAAGGTTTCAAACTTTTGATTGAGTTGAAAAAAACCAAACCAAACAAATCCTAAACCCATGTGGTCTAAAGGCTGTTAACTCGCCTGTTGGTTATTGCCCTGGTAATATTATCAAAAGATTGGTAATTGTCTTTAAGATTATTGTAAGATTCAAATTCTTTTTACTCATTTTTAAACATTTGAACCATTAATTGTAATATAACAAATTAGCAATATTAACTTGGTATGTGAAAGAAAATCTTGAAGATCTTGTTAAATATTTCAATATTTCTTTAACACCATCATAATTTTTGAAAAAATTAAATATTACATTCAGAAAGTTATTTGAGTTTCTGATGCTATAGATCATCAATGAACAGCATGCATTTTTGGCACCCAAAACAGTGGGCATGCTGGAATTTCCGAACCGTAATTATGACTTGTGATTTATTATAAAATTAATAATTTTATGATAAAGTAAACTTAAAAAATAAAAATGAATTACTTTGTATATAGTTTTGCTTCTATTGAGATCTAAGTTGACATTTTACAAAAAATAATATTGAAAAAAAAAAGTTTAAAAAAAAACTTTTTTAAATTGATTGATTGCCTGAAATATATATATATATATATATATATATATATATATATATATATATATATATATATATATATATATATATATATATATTACTTAATTTTAAGGATCCATATAAAATGGAGACATTACAAGACAATCCTGGAGAAAATAATGTTGCATTATCTGTTGTAAGTATCATGACTGGTGCTCCTAATCGGCGTAGTGGAAGAGGATTTGTTAAAGATCCGAAGAAAACTTATGAAGAAGTATATCTTTCAACTTTTTTAAAAGAAAAACCATGGTTTTTGTGTATTTTGTAATTTCTGAAATTTTTTTTTATTTAGATTCAAACAAGTCGTAAAATTCGCCAATATCTAGAGAAGTTATCTTCTAGACATTATACTGAAAAAGAATTGATAGAAATGTCATATAACTGTGAACCTCCATTGACTTTAACTGGTAAATATAAGTATTATATATATATATATATATATATATATATATATATATATATATATATATATATATATATATATATATATATATATATATATATATATATATATATATATATATAGAGAGAGAGAGAGAGAGAGAGAGAGAGAGAGAGAGAGAGAGAGAGAGAAAAAGAATTTTCAGCTTACATTACTTTTAAATAACTTTAGTTTATCTTTTAATCTGTTTTGTATTTTCTTTTAGCACCTGGAGTCTCACAACGTAGTCGTAGCAAACCGCCACCGTTAACAAATTCAAATAAAAGTATACAAATTTGTGTGTTAACAATATTTTAATTTTCTTATTGTATTTTTTTAAGTATTTATATTTTGCAATTATTATTTTAGGTGCAGAAGATAAATCTGAAAGCTCTCGTACAAACTCAGTATCATCTCTAGAATCGACAGTAACCAGCAATCAACCCCCTCGAAGAAAATTACCAACACCAACTTCAAGTACTACTAGTGCGGAAACTTCAAGTTTACCAGGTAAACATAAAATCTCAATTAATTAAAAATAATTTTTAATTCATTAACAATTACAGAACATTATCAATTCAAAAAATTAAATTTTAATAATGAAGTGAAGTAAATAACTTTGAATTAAAATAACATTCAAGTCTGTATTTAGCATGTTTGTGCACAAATATGTGAATGGCTTATTATACTTTAAACTGCAAAAATGATTTTTAATAAGCTATTAAGTGCAAAAATTATAGAAATTTTTTTAGTATTTATTTCAATAACAAGTTAAGTCGAAACAGTGATATATGAGTTACATGTTATTTATAAAAAATATTTTAAAAAATAACTTTTTTCGATATTATTATAAATTAAAAAAAAAAATTTATGAAAATATATTTTTTTCTCCATTGTAAATACTATGAGCTAACTAAATTTATGAAAATTTGCTGAATCATCCAATTTATAGAGCTAAAATAATTATTAAATTTTTCTCCTGTATCTCTTGTGTATTTATAAATCTCAGTTATATTCTCTTGATTACTGGTTAAAAGTCTAGTTATCTTCTGGCGTAGATTTAAAATTATATTTTCTTAAATGAATATTTCCCACATAATATACTACTAATCAAATGCATAAATTTATTTTTAATGAAAGATAAACAAAAGATTAAAAAAAAGTCAACGTGTTTTTCTTCTTTTAATGTTTATTTTCTCCATTTTAAAAACACTGTTTTTAAAAAAGTTTATTAGTTTTTAGAATTAAAAAAGAAAAACATGTAAACTGTGACCACCTTCACATATGTACCATTTACTCAACATTTTTTAGTGTTTATAGGGACTTATTAGTCTGACTTATTAGTTTGACTTATTAGCATGTCTCTATTTTACTGGTTCTTTTGCTTGTAGATTATTTATTGATTTTCAAAAAGCTTTTAATTTTATATTATTATGGTTTACAGGGTATTGCTAATAGTTAATTTTCATCGTATATTTTGTTTTGATTAATGGATTTAAATCCATATAGTGCTATAAAGTATAGTGTCCCACAGAGTTCATTGCTGTTTTAGTATATATTGATGATCTCACTCTACAAAAAACTCCATTGCTTATCTTTTTGCTGATGATACCAATCTTCTATGCCTTATTAAATCACTTTCACAGCTTAGTTGAAAAGTTATTACTTATTTAACTCAATAGCTGAATTGTAACCTATTTCTCTAAATATCGATAAAACTGAATATTTTTTACTTTCCAAAAAAATAAGACAATGTGAAACTTAGATTTGAAGGGCTTGGGGTATTAACACTGTATGCCACCTAATCATTCTTGTGAGAAAATAGAATTTAGAGTTTCTTTGAAGTCCTCAAATCATACAAAAAAATAATTTTAAATGTTATTATGCAATTTGTATATATGGTTATCAAATCTAACTTATTTAATTTAAAGATTTAAAAAATCTAAAGTCTTTATATTAAAATCTCATACTTGTGGATTTTGCGGCTTACAATGTTAATACCCCAAGCCCTCCAATTAACAGTAAAAGACTGTTTTCTCAGTGTATTTCTTGACAAAAACTTGTCATCAATTGATTAATTTAAATAAATAAAAAATTTAATAATAGCGTGTCTTTAATAGAATAGTATGTCCTGTTACATAATCTACAATTGATTTACTATTCCATACTCTCTTCCTATCATAGTTATTGTATCATTACTTGGTGTCAAAAAAGAAGTTTTTAAATTCCTTAAGCAGTCATAAGTCATATCTTAAGTACATCCATAAGAATTTGACATTTTTTTTTAAATTTTTTTATAACAAAAAAAAAAGTTTCTGAAGTTGTACTAAAAAGATATTTTTATAACAAAAATTTCAATGAGAAGCCAATTTCATCAAAATTCTACAAATAGCATGGAGTGTTTTCGTTGAAACCTGCAACATTGATTTCTCTTTGCAGTGTGTTAAAATACTTTGCTATTATTTCTTGCATGCAAGAAGCGGCTCTGAGTGATGAAATATTGCCTATGGCTCTGATACTCAAGCTATAACTCCACCAGGTTGTGAAAAGGTTATACCAATCTCTTCCTGGTGTACCATTAAGAAACAAATGAGATTATTCGGTAACTAGTGTGATGACGTTATAGTTCTACCAAAGCCCCAATCGGCGATTTGATGATCTACCAAAACTGATTGTTGTTGTGACAATCTTGTGCTTGAAACATTGCCAATTTTTTCACCTGTGTTGTGGACACACCTGTGAAGAGTTGCTACTGGTATGCTAAATGATTTAGCAGATTTGTTAAATGAAAATTCACCACTTTTTACTTTAACCACCGCAAGCGCAACTTTGGTGTATAATTTTTTTCTTTTTTTCTTGCACACAAGTTGTTTCGAGGCATATTTAATCTAAAAATAGATTTAACAATAATCCATTTGAAATTTATGCACAAAATTTATAGAGATAGCTTGTTCATTAATTCTTAATTAATAAAAACCGCATTTAACAAGAGAGTGACTAGAGCATTTTATTCATTCATTAGAATCATTTGATAAAAGCAGTCAGTAAAAGTCATTCATTTAAGTTCATAATAATTTTATTTAAAAAAAATTTTCAATACAAGGTTTATTGGTCACTTTTGTTTGTTTGTTGTTAATTTACCTCCTCAAGGCCGAGAAGGCCACTACAGAAGAGGAGGCTTCTTATTTGTGGTGATAACCCTTTCTCAACTCTATAACTCCGAAACACAAACCTTGACAAACAAGGCCGCTGCACAGAGAAACAAGTTAAGCGCAGTACTACCAGGGGCGTGGTGGGGATCAAACTTGGAACTACTTGCTTATGAAGCAAGCGCTCTACCACTACACCACTCCTGCATTTGAGATTTAATTTTAAAATGCTGCATTTAAGAAGTGAGCTATTGCTTTACTTATTATTAGCGTATTTCATTCAACCCAACAATTCTCTTTTTCCATTTTTTACTCATAACTTTTTTTCCTAAATAGCAAATTTAGTTTTGAAAAAAGATTCTTGATCAGCGTAAAAAGTTATACCAGAAAACTTTTTAAATTCAATCATATCTAATTTAACATGCGATATATATATGTATATATATATATATACATATATATATATATATATATATATATATATATATATATATATATATATATATATATATATATATATATATATATATATATATATATATATATATATATATATATATATATATATATATATATATATATATATATATATATATATATAGGTCAGGTCAGGTTATCCTGCTACTGGTAACATGTAACTCAGTACAAACTGCTTTATGTCCTGCTGTCTCATAGAATACGCTTTTTTAGGCAAAGCCCACTCCGTCTTAAAACACTCCCTGCCTTAGCAATCTTAGTTGAGTTCTAGTGGTTCTAGATGGTGCCTCGATAAAAATATTTATCTTGGGCAGATGTTAAATGCATCCAACTATTGTCTTGTAGAAGGCCTCCTAAGCAAACTTAGGAATAAACAAATTTTATGTGTTGACCAGACTCGCACCCCTTTTTCATCTATTAGGCTGGCGCAGATGTATTTTGAATACATTGTTTCAATTCTAGGATGTTGAATTCTATTATTTCTTTATGACTCAGTGCATGGGTTTTGCTTGTGTCTCTGTTTTTATTACTAGGCAACTTATTCTATTATCTCCTAATGAGGGTATAGCTCTATAACTCAGTTTTATGGTTCTGAGGCCGGCTGGTAGTCAGGTTTTGCAAACTCTGTGGTAGCTCTCAGAGAGGCTGATTCCATAAACAGCTGAAAAATATCAAAATAGTGCTATGTTGCGCATGGATAGTGTCCCTGTTTGCACTTTTGGTGTGCATTGCCAAGGCCACATTTGGAGCCCTTTGTTACGGCTTAGGTTTTATTAATAGTAATGAGGCAATTGTTTGGACTATTAAATAGAGTACTGAGTACTGTCTGTGCTTTGAGTCAAGTTCTTTAACAAATTTAAAAATAATTAAAGTACCAAAAACTATAAAACATAAAAGATCATCATCATCACCAAGTTCTCTAAACCTATCATTCACTAATATTCGTGGTCTTTAAAGTAACTTTTCTTTTGTTGATTCTTATTTCTTGCAAAGTTCACTAGACCTACTTGCTCTTTGTAAGACTAATTTGAGTTCAGCTGTCTCATCTTGTGATCTTAGTGTTGGTGGTTATCTTCCTTTAATTCGTAAAGACTCCAATAGTCACATGCTTATTCTGAGCATTTACATTTGTAAGAATTTACCCATTTGAGAAACTAGGTTTGAATCCACAGACTATTCTTTTATATGATTTATTTTAGCACCATTTCACTCTATTGCCTTTCTCTTTGTTCTATACTGCTCTCCTTCATCTCAAAACTGCACTCTTTTTGATGTTATTTCTGGTCAAATTAACCAAGTCCTCTCTCTCTATTCTTTTTTTTTTTTTAATTTTTTTAATTCACCTCCTCAAGGCCGAGAAGGCCACTACAGACTAGGAGGCTACTTATTTGTGGCTATAACCCTCTCTCAACTCTATAACTCTGAAACATGAACCTTGACGAACAAGGCCGCTGCGCGGAGAAACGAGTTAAGCGCGGTACTACCAGGAACGTGGTGGGGATCGAACTCGGAACACTCGTTTATGAAGCGAGAGCTCTACCACTACACCACTACGTTGTTGTTGGTGACTTTAATGCCCATCGCACAGAATGGCTTGGTTCTAGTGTCAGTGACTCTGTAGGTGTTAAAGCCCACAACTTTTGCCTTTCTCAAACTTTAACTCAAATAGTCTACTTTCTAACTCACTTTCCAGACAATTCAAAAATTTACCTTTTCTACTCGACTTATGTCTTGCTTCTGATCCTAGTCTTTAAGGATGAATTGTAGAAACTTTGTATCTACAAATTCATCCTAAGGTGCTTCTGCTTGCGGTTTGATCTCTCTAAAACTATTATCTCATTCTTTTTCATTATCTGAATCCCCCTATCATCGTACCTTTTACACCTCCTTGTGATGGCCCTTAGGTAAAAATCTTTCTTCTTCCTGCTGACAAACATGCTTCTTACACAACTTTGTGGATTCAGGTTGGCATGGAATCTTTTATTCCCTCTCGACAATTCCAGGTCAAGCCTCACTCTTCTCCATGGTTTTCATTGTGCTGCTGCAATTTCCAATTGAAACCGTTAATTCCATATTTATCAGCAAAACAATTCTCCAGAAAACACATGAAAACACATTTCTAAAGCGTTTGATAAAGTTTGGCATGCTGGTCTTCTTCATAAGCTTTCTTCTCCATAAGCTTTCTTCTTACGGTGTATCTGGAAACATCTTTAAGATTATTGAATCCTTTCTAATCGTAGTATAAAAGTTGTCCTTGATGGACACAACTCTTCTTATTCTGTTACCTCAGGAGTTCCTCAAGGTTCAATCCTTGGCCCTATACTCTTTTTAATTTACATTAACGATCTTCCAGATATTCTCACATCTAAGGTGGCATTAGATGTGAGAGTTCTTCTTCTAAGATTCTTCTTCTAACTCTTACTTCCGATCTTTCTTGGAAACCATATATCAAATCCATTGCAAAATTAGCATCTGTTAATGCATCTCTTTATCGAGCTCAACACTTTTTTACTCTGGATTCTATTCTTTATCTCTATAAATCTTAAATCTGGTTTTGTATGGAATACTATTGCCATATCTGAGGCGATCTTCTAATGATGCCCTTTTTCTTTTAGATAAGGTGCAAAAACACATTGTAAACATAGTTGGACCTGCTCATGCTGCCAACTTCCAACCATTATTACATCGTCCTAATGTTGCTTCTCTTTCTCTTTTCTATAAATGCTATAATGGGCACTGCTCTAAAGAGCTAGCGTCCCTTGTTTCATCTATTTAAATTCATTCTTGTGTTACTTGTCATTCAAGTCTCGTCCTTTTTCTGTGACTGTTCCTAAGTGCTCTAAAAACTCTAATTTGTCTATTTTTTTTCCTCGAACATCAGTTCTTTGGAGTTCGCTTCCTTTCGATTCATATAATTTGCAATCTTTTAAGTCGTCTGTCAATCGTTATCTTGCTCTACAATCTTGATCTTTTCTCTTCCAGTAACTTCCAACTTTAATAGTGGTTGCACCTTGTTGGAAGCGAAGGTGTTAAATATATATATATATATATATATATATATATAATATATATATATATATATATATATATATATATATATATATATATATATATATATATATATATACACACACACACACACACATATATATCTTATACTGCTGAGTTAGGTGAGCATGATGATGTCATACTCACCTAATGTCAAATAGCCTGCTGCCGGGGGCTTCAGTACATACATCGACTGACAAATAGCCTGACTCGCCGTGGAGTTTCTTCTACATCGACTGAGGGTTTGGTATGGGTCAGCAACATTTTCATTCATTATTCTTCGTTTTCCCTCATCGTTTTCTAAAAATGCTCACTTAATTTAGGCTAGCAAAAAAAGTGAGCAACTGCACATATAAATATGCTATAGTAGATATATATATATATATATATGTATATTATATCATTTTTAATGTTGTTATATTTAACGCTATTATTATCTTATTATTGTCGTCTTATAATTTTTAACTGCTTATCTAGTGTTTGATAATTATGATGATTCTGTTATAGCTTAATTTTTATTATTATTGTTATAATTATTTAGTTAAATTAAAAACGCGGAAGTGCGTTAGTTAAATGCACTTCCGCCACACTCTATTTAAAGAAATTTAGGTTTTCTTGGGGAAGAATTTCGGTCTTCTTTTCACCTAAGATGAAAAAAGAATTGAAAGTTATATGTATAAACTATAGAAATAGTTCTCTTAATTATATCCTCTAACAAACTGAAATTTCATTACATTTTTTATTTTTTGAAACCTACATTTACTAATTACGTGACCTGCGCAAATAACATTTTTTTTTTGTCTCATCTTCTAAAATTTGATTATCTAAAAAAATAAAAAAAAATTTCAATTACGCACATAAATTAGCTTTTTTATATAGCTAGTTTTATGCTGGTAATTGGAATTATTTTTTTTGTAATTCAGTAAACGTTTTTATTGCGTGGTAAAAAACTAATTATAATAAAAGTATATAAACATTGATTTCATTAAAAGTTGCATGTTACCTTGATTTAGATTCATCTAGCAGTATATTATCACGAAATGGGTCTTGGAGATCAGCATCAAGTGGTAAATGTTATTATTGATTATGCGTGAGCGTAAACGTTTCAGAAAAAGCTTTTTTTTTTTTCCTCTTTGTCTCCGATGCTTTCAGAAGTTTTTTTTTGTTAGATGCTTTTTCATTTTGTTTTGTTAGCTTTTTTATGCAATAATTTTTTTTATTTTTTAGGCTCTCGGAACTTCAGACCTCCTTATTCGTTTACAGCTAACGAAGACCAAGTTGATTCCGTACTCTACGATAACGGTTTGTGCTTTCTTTTTTAATGTTTAACAGTTTCTGTCTATTTTGTTATTATTTTCACTAAAGTAGTTACATTTTCCAATCGGTATTTTGACTGGAATATTTTTATTTCTAGAAAATGTTCAGATATCTATGGTTTAACTTCCCTAAATTCTATATAGAAAATGTTCATCTACGGTTTTACTTCACAAAAATGAATGGGCAAATCTAGTAAGCTGATAACATCCTATTATAAAAAACAAGGTTTAACTCGTTCTGTGAACTGTTATCACTATAGTATTTGATTCTACATACCGAAAAAAGCGAACAAAAAAAAAATCAAATTTGTAAATATATTCAAATGCTAAAAAATGTATAAACTTTTACGCGTGGGGCTGGCAATCTGCTTGTTTAAATATGACTTTTTTAAAAAAATTAAATCTATGAAACAATTTTTTTAACGGTGGTCTTTACCTGGTTTGACTCCTTTCGATTCACAAATATCTTTCTGAACAATTTTTATTAAAATAAATCCACTGCTTCGCTAAAACCTTCTGTATGCAAGGCAATTAAACAAATAAGACTGTATTACAACTTCTTAATATTATTGTTATCGTTTTTATACTATTTATTTATCAGGTGTGGAGCAATTATCAGGTGTGGAGAAGTTAGCTTTTATGATAATAAATTAAAAGAATTTTTTTTCTCTCCTCTAATTAGTTCGAAAAGAAATTTTTTATTTTATGTATAATATGTTTTATCTATTGGAGTTGGAGATCTAATGTCAACTCGGCAAATATATTTTTGTACAGTTAAACTCGGTGTTATTAATTAAACAAGATTCCTCCCTATTCAAAAACCTTAAGGCGAGTTTCCACTCATCCGTTTTTCAACGGGAACGGGATAGGAAAGGAAAAAATAATCACGTGAGCATGCGTAACAAAAGTTTTTATTTGTCCGAAAGTAAACTGTGCATGCTCACGTTAAAGTTTTGTTAGGCGATAACTTATCCTCTCATATCTCTCCAAAAGTAATTAATGCTTGTAAAAAAAATGAAATTCTGTTTGTTTGCCTGCCACCTATTAGCACGCATATAACTCAACCTCTAGATGTGACTTTCTTTAAACCTTTAAAAACAGCTTGGCGTAAAATTATTACAGAGTATAAAGATTCTCCTGCTGGCTGCATAAAAACATCTCTTGAAAAACAACATTTTCCAGAACTTTTTAACAAGTTAATGATTGCTATAGAACCAAATCAGGCTAACAACTTAAAATCAGGTTTTAGAAAGTGTGGTATTAATCCAATAAATGTCAATCAACTTCTCACACAATTTAGAGAGAGAGAGAATCGTACGATAAAGAATTTTTAGAAGACAGCTTTAAAATTTTTTTACAAGAAAAATACAAATCCTTGCAGTCTCCAGAAACTAAAAAACGAAAAAAAAAGCTTTCTATTCCTGCAGGGAAAAGTTGGCACAGAAGATTTAGAAAAATGGGATAACAGTTTTGATATTGGCTCAAAGCTTGCAAAGAAAAAAAAACTAAACAAAAACACGAAGAGCATAAAGTCAAAAGTTCAATCTAAAGAAGATCCAACAGAGTGCTATGATCACAGTTCTAGCTCAAAATCATCGAGTAGCATTGAAAATAAACTTGTTGAGAAAAAGAATAAGAATGAGAAGCCAAACTTAGAAAATTTGAGACATGTGAACTTTTTCCTGGACAGATTACAAATGTAAAGGAAAACAGTGCTTATGTGAAGCCAATGGTAAAAATATTAAATGCTTTTCTAACACGCAAGAAGATTTTTATGAATGGGACAGTGTTTGTTTCACATCAAGGAGTCTTTATTTTATAAATTTAAAGTACCTCTATTAGACTTTCATTTTTCTTGAAGTTTGTTTATTTAACTTTTATTTTTTATTTTAAAGATATATAATTGCCTACATTAAAGAAAATTTTCTGTTTTTAGTGGCTATGTTTCTTTTATTATGTTAATTTTTTTATTTACCAAAACAATAGTAAATCTGATTTTATTGTTTTATTTTTATTCGTCTTTAAACTCTCGTTAAAATTTCCTTTAAACACTATAATAAAAAGAGTTTAAATAGCGAAATTCATATAAACGGTAAAGTTTTTTTCATATTTTATAAAGCTGTGCAAAGTTAGCCCATACCCCGGTTAACTTAGGACATAATTTAGACACCCATGAAAAATCCTTCTTTAATGTTTAAAAAAATAAATTCTTATAATAACGGTTTTTGAATAGTCCAAATAAAATTTTTGGCAAGTTTTTATAAATAGTAGAGCCAATTTTTAGAAACACAAAGCAGAAAATTTCAACTTTATGCGCAAAGTTACCCAAAGTTACGGTATTGGTTTTTTTTGAAAATTTCAGGGACATCTTCAAATTATTTCATAAGAAAAATCTGAATATTTGAGACCATAATTCAAAGCGGTTCAAAAGTTATTGTGGTTTGAAGTTTCATAAAACGTTGGCGTTTGACGTAAAAAGTTGTTTTAAATGAGAGCAACTGAGCTGCTGAGTTTTTATCAACGAATGTTAATTATAATATCAATATCTAACATTAATTTTTATACATTAAGGAAAAATATTGAGTTTTTAAAATGATAAAATAAATAAAATTTTCCCGTTATCCAAAATCATGCCAAGGGCCTTCAATAAAGCAAGTTCAGTACTTTTGAGCACCAAATTTCTGTTTAATCTAGGTTTATAATAGAATGTTGTAAATTTGAAAACAAATCTGAGTTTTGTTTACTGCAAATACAGTCGAACTTAATTAAAACTCAATATTAGTCTCAAAATCATGTCTCTAAACCTCACCTGCTTTAAAAGTGATAAAGTTTATGCTAACTTTTAGAAGCAAAAATCAATGTGCTAACGAGCTATTGACGCGTCGTTTTTTGAAAATGATTTACACACCTATATACTTGAGATAAATTAAAATACTTCAATGAATGGTTTTTTGAAAATGATTTGCACAACTATATACTTGAGATAAATTAAAATACTTCATAAAAGTAAAATAAAAAATTGTTTATTTAGTTAACAGAGTGGTTTATTTGAGTTTCTAAACTTCTTGCTGCAAAAGTAAATTGCTCGACGTTAACATTATTTAGTTTCTCAAAATTGAATAAAGTTTTGTCAACTAAATTTTTGTCATTTTTAAATACGTTTTTTGCTAATTCTTCTGTAAAGTCCTCAATGGCTTTAACTTATTCAGATTTTTTAAGCAAACCTTGCTAATATTTTTTGTACATTCTGCTAAATGAAGAGAGAACTTGTTGTCATCTAAGGTATTCAATAGGACTAAATGACTTGACAGTTTTTTCATTTTTCATTATTTTCATTTTAAAAGAACTTTTTCTAGTATTGTTTTATGTTCTGTTACTTCTCCAGCTATGAACTCTTCACATTATAAGTTTTTCTGCTTGGTCGTAAATCTTATATGCTTACGTAAAGGTATAGCCTTACACTGTTAAAAAATTCACCGTAGATTCAACAGAGAATGTCAGCAAAGTGAGAGCACTTTCTCCGTAAAAACTAACGGTTTCAGTAGTTTCTTTTTTCCAATGTAATATATTACATTGGTCTTTACTTTTTTTTGGCTCATTGTAATCATATCTGAAGGAGCGTATATCTTTTACCTTGTCAATACAAAAGAAAGTTTCGGCAAGTAAGTTTGCTGAATAACACCCTAAAATAAAAACAGATAATAATTTATAAAATCTAGTAGTGTATAAAAAAGTAAACTATATCATAATACATTACAAGAGCTTAAATTATTTCCCTGTCCACCTAATATGCAATTAATTTGAAAAGCTTTTATTTTTTAGCAATAACTATATTAATAGAAGTTAAATTTTTACCAAAATTATCAATTTTTTTGTAGATCTGTTTCAAACTTGGAACATATTTAGTAAACTGGTCAAGTACATGGTCAGCCACACATAAAGTGTGGTTGAAGAATGTGTGTCTCTTGAATCCTTATCACTTTTTGAGAGTTGTATTTAAGTTCATCTTTTCATCAATTTCACGGGTAAATATATATTTTTTGAAATTCATTGTTTTGATTTGTCAACCAGAACAGTGAATTTCGGTCTATGACTGCATGTTGTGGTCTGCAAAAGATTTTGTTAGAAAAACATTTTTGGTGTTCAGTAAATGCTAATTGCGCATTTTTGTTTACATTCTTGCTTACAAATTGCTAAAAACTGACTTGGAAAACTATTTGCAGCATTTTTTTTTTGTAAAGAATTTACCTTATTTTTCATTGGACTAATATATCTTGGAGCAAGATACTTTTGCCTGTGTTTCTTGCTTGTTAAGTAAAAACTTCTGTATTCTTCTATCAACTTCATTGTAATTCAATCTAAAATAAAGGATATCAGGATTTAAGATATTCTTTTAAATTTTTGTCTGAACTATACTGGCTCATAATATATTATTTGGGCTTTTTTCATTTTGATAATCTCTTTGCACCTTTGATTAAACTTGATGATTAATACATTTATTTGCTAGGGCTACCGAGTTAGCTGGAAGTGCTAGGACTGCAGAGTTAGCTGGAAGTGCTGTTTCATTTTAAAAATTTATTATACCATTATGAGTCAACATAGTAACTACATATAATGTTTTGTTTAAAAGATTGTTTGATTGTTGGTTTCTAATGGAAAGAATTATAGATTATTCTATTTCAATACTGTGTTTTCAATTGTTGAATTGGCTGCGTCATTTTCACTCTGACTATCTCATGATACAAATAACGCTGGGTAATAAAATCTTAAATTAAATAAATGTTAATGCATTAACAACACTATGTTCACTTTTTTATTCTGGCCCCAAATCGATTACAGAAGTAATAAAATTGTGTTGCTTCATCTTAGCTTTCAAATTCAATAAATTTAAATATTTAATTATTTAAAATATCTAATTATATAATACTTTGACCCCACATCGATAACAGAAGTTATAAAGTTGTGTCGCTTTTCAATTGATATAAAATAATTAAGATTATATTCAATTAGTTCTTTTTTATTCTTGTAATTTCGTAAACTCGTAAGTTTAAGTAAACTCGTCTTCATTTGAAAAGGCTTTTCGAGTAGTATTGACGTCATTTGAATTTCTAGATAATCAACATTTTAGGTTGTCAAAAATAAGGCCTATAATTTGTTGAAATCTTTTTTGTATATTCATTTTTTATTCTTTAACATAAGCTTTCTCTAAGTCTCCTCTTGCTTGACATTTTTGTCAAGCAAGATTGGTATCTTAAATGCAATATCCATAGTAGCAAGATATATTGGTGCAATATTGGTGCGATATTGGGTATCTTGGCCAATAATGGACAAGATATACAATATTGCGCCAATAATGGTTAAAAGTATTTCGCCAATATTGGGATACCAATATTGGAAAGTATTAGCATGCTGATATTGCTCCAATATTGCTTATCCAATATTAGAATGCCAATATTGGAGCCGTATTGGCATGCTTATATTGGCCAATATTGATATGCCAATTTTGTTTTATTAGCTTTTTAATATTGACATTTTTTGTAGTTATACGTATACATAACAAAAATTGTTAAGTCAATTAATTGTTTTGATAATTATAGGCTTTAATTAGATTTTTAACTGCAATAATTACTCTGAGAATTTTTTTTATAGACTTTCGTAGGCTTTAAATCACCATATTGAAATCTAAAAAATTATATAGATGTATTTATATAATTTTTTAGATTTCAAAATGGTACTTTAATATAATACAGTGTTATAATCTTAGTTGCGTTACCTTTTT